GGGCACCAGACTCAATTCCCAGAACTTCCCTGAGAATAGAATTCTGTCTGCAAAACAGTCACTATCAAATAGGCCTTCTATGAGAACTGAGTAATTGTCAACTGGAAAATAATCACCCTTCAAGCACCAATCATTTCAGGGAGCAAAGAGACACTGGTAGTTGGTGAGTATCACTATGCTAATTACTGAGGATATGAGTGGAGAAAAGAACAGAAGGAAAAAATACAGCAAAGTAAGACTACTTACTGGCTGGTTTGGTTTGGTAGAGAAAAAATAGTGAGGGGAATATACAAAGAAAGGGGGACTATAGGTAGACTGAAGAAAGGCAAAGAAATGCAATCAGATAATGTAGAGGGTTCCATCTCTCAGGAGGCTGAGTTAGAACCCTCAAACTAGGTCAGGTATGTATGTCCTTTGGGAAAGTAAAAACAAAAGAAAAGGAGCAGGGAGAATGAAATAGGGCAAGAACAAAGAAGGGTCTAGCTGGCCTGCTAAACTGTCACCTGGAGTTAAATAAAGAAGATAGGGACAGGAGGGACAGTTGGGTGACATGGTTGCTCTATTCAGTCTTGAGTCTCTCAGTGTCCCTTCCCTGACTCCCAGAAGCCTGTTTACCCTGTCCCTCTGAGATGGGCAATCCTTTTCTCTCATGCTTTCCTCCTAGGCTTGCTTTGGATGATCAGTTTACTGATGCTGGCCCAGCTCCCACTCTGGCCTAGGTGGAATGGTTGCACAGTCATCTAGAGAGGCTTATGATAGAAAAGTCTGGTTCAAAGTGAAACAGCCCTGGCTGAGGCTGTGATTCAGGAGCTCTACTAAATGTTTAGTAGTTGGCTGTTGAACTGCCAGAAATTTTGTTCAAGGCAGGCAGCAAGGTTGAGAGTTCAGTAGCTTCCGGTTAATTGAGTTACCCCATCTCCCAACACCTTAATTATTGACGGTAAATAAACTTCAGGAGCAGTGTTTACAATAAGAATCTAAAGCCGGGCATGATGGCACACACCTTCAATCCCAGCACTAGGGAGGCAGAGGCCGAGGCAGGCGAATATTTGTGAGTTCCAGGCCAGCCTGGTCTGCAGATCGAGTTCCAGGAAGACAGGTCTACACAGAGAAACCCTATCTTGAAAAAAACAAAATAGGGCTGGAGACATGGCTCAGAGGTTAAGAGCATTGACTTCTCTTCCAGAGGTCCTGAGTTCAATTCCCAGAAACCACATGGTGTCTCACAACCATCTGTTATGAGACCTGGTGTCCTCTTCTGGTTTGCAGATATACATGGAAGCAGAATGTTGTATACATAATAAATAAAATAAAATAAATAAAAGAAAAACAAAATAATAGCCAGGTGGTGGTGGCACACCCCTTTAGTCCCAGCACTCAGGAGGCAGAGGCAGGCCTGGTCTACAAAAGCTAGCTCCAGGACAGCCTCCAAAGCCACAGAGAAACCCTGTTTCAAAAACAAAAACAAAAACCCGAAAAACAAACAAACAAAACTCCAAAATATTAATAGTTAATAGTAATAATAATGATAATATGAAAGATTTTTTTTTGAGACAGGGTTTCTCTGTGTAGCTTTGGAACCTATCCTGGCACTTGTTCTGGAGACCAGGCTGGCCTCAAACTCACAGAGATCCGCCTGCCTCTGCTTCCCAAGTGCTGGGATTAAAGGCGTGCGCCACCAATGCCCAGCTGAAAGAAATATTTTTAAAAAGTGTGTGCACTACCCTCACAGAGGACCAGTTCAGTTTCCAGCATTCACAATGGTCAAAGCTCACAACTGCCTGTAACTCCAGCTTTCTGGGGATCTGACCCTCCCCTGGCACTGAACTCATATGCACACACCCAGAACACACATGTACACATAATTAAAATTATATTTAATTTTTTAAAAAGCAATGCATGGTGGTGCAAGCTTGTAATCCCCAACCTTAGGAGACAGAGGCGGAATTGCTACAAGTTTAAGGCCAGTCTGGGTTTCATAATATCAAGCAGCCAGGGCTATGTGGCAAGATTCTTTCTAAAAAGGAAGAGATTTTAACGGATTCTTAGGATATTCAAATAATGCACCAGGGAAAGATAGGTCTTCCTAAATGTTTCAGAATGACATGTTTCCAGCTTGAGGGAGGAGGGGCACCTGTGGCAGGAGGCAGCAGTGAGCTAAGCAGAGAAGGCCCTAGATATATATATATATATCATATCGGTGACAGGATGCAGCTGTGCTGGAAAAATGGAGGTGGTTACAGGTGCGTGGGGTGGAGACTGTGGCCTTGCCCAGGAGTTAAAACTTGAGGCTGCGGTGTGGTGCACACCTTTAATCCCAGCACTCGGGAGGCAGAGGCAGATGGATCTCTGTGAGTTTGAGGCCAGCCTGGTCTACAGAGTGAGTTCCAGGACAGCCAAGGCTATACAGAGAAATCCTGTCTCAAAAAACAAAACCAAAAAAAAAAAAGCAAACATAAAAGAAAAACCAAACAAACAAAAACAAACGAACAAACAAAAGAACCCCCCCACCCAAAAATTAAACCTC